GCCCAGCTCAACAAAACCCTGGCTGGAATGATCTAGTTGGAGATGGTCCTGATTTGAGAAAAGGGTTGGACTAGATGACTTCCTGAGGTCCCTTCCAACCTGAATTTTCTACAGTTCTAACTCTTTTCTGTAGTTCTTGTGGAGGCTGATTCTCCAGTCTCAGCCATCCTTCAAGAATGTCCCATCTCCTGTACACTTGAGCTACATGATTAAAAGTTCCATTGAGCTTGAGGAATGAAGTTATCAATCATGATCTCAACCCAGATCTGTAAGGGATCTTTTTAATATGTTGGCACTGTCATTGGACACCTTAAGGAAAATGACTTGTGCATTGAATTCAACTTAATTCTTTGGGAAATGCACTGTAGAGGGCAGAGAGCAAGCTTAGTGTGGATAGGTTTAATAGCCTGTGTCACTGTGAAGATGTTCTTTAGTGTTCAGCTGCCAATGGCTTCATGCCCAAGTATGTTGTATTATTGTAGCCCAGATAGGAGGTGACAAAAGTGTCAATAATCAAAGACAGGTCATCATCCATTAGGAAGGGACACCTGAAGATGGTAGAAAGCATTATTTGTAGAAGCTGACAGCTTTATCAAACAGGGATTTGGGTGCATTTCTACATTGCAGACTGAACTGACAATGGGTGTGTACCTTAAACAAAGGAATCTGTATTGTGACTGCAAATTAAAAGGGTTTTTTTTGGACAACCAGTGCATCACATTTTGTTTGGATTCAGCTTTATTATCCAGAGGTTCTTAGAACCTTAAAGCTAATTGGAGCTGCGGGTACTCGGCCTTCTTTGAAAAGCAAGCAACATAAACTAAGCATTTAATGTGGATTTAGTGGCATAACTCTAAAATGTCAGTTATCACCTCTATTTATCATTGCTGTTTTATGTTTGGTGTAAATGTGAAAGAACTAATTTTACACAGAAATAGATGCACAGACTGTGTCTTGAAGAGCTTCTATCAAAACATTAACAGAAAGAGGGAAAGGGCAAGGGACAGACGCATGCTTTCATAGAACTAGAGGTTTAGTAGTAGGACAAAGGACAACGGACAGACTTGGCAAGTATTCCAGGAAGGCATATGACAAGGTTTGATGAAAGGCTGGGTGTTACAGGTGAAAGAAAGGGTAAACTTGATAATACAGGTTTGTGAGTTTGAGTGCTCAAAAGAACAGAGCTGCTTTCTGGAGGAAGAGCGAGAGGGTGAATTTGCATGATAACTCCCATGTTTCACAGTTTCAACTTGTGGATACAGAAGGAGATGGGCCAGTTGGTGGCACTGAGATGAAAGATCATGTATGCCAGCCTCCTGCCTTGCTAAAATACGTTAACTCCATCTCCTATTTAAAATCTGCTTTTTAAATTAGAAAGGGAGCAGGTATGCAAAATGATCAGGTGAACCTCTAAGAGTATGGGTACATACCTGAAGCTTAGAACTGCCAACATGCTTCCAAGAGCTGCAAAATCTGGAAAAACATACTTTTAAATAAAGACCTTTTTAATATAAAGGCTCGAATATAGCCATCTTAATACTATTTCTCCTGTCATTAGCTGCAAATGAGAAGTGCAAAAGCACATAAAGTCAAATTGTCTTCAAAACCTAATGGTGTCTAGTTGCTGTGTTTTTTGAATTTTCAAAAATGTTAAACGTTCTAAGAATTAGGGTGATGTTACAAACTTACACCTATTTCTCCTGAACCTGTCTGATCCTTCCTACAGGAGCCTAAAGTTAGGTCTTTTGGGTTAAAGATGAGGAAGACCACTTAACATCTATTTCCATTTCCTTGTCAGTCCAGCCATGCATAGTGTTGCTCCTTCTTTCCTTTGTTCTACTTTTGTGCTTTCTTTCACACTATTCCTTGCTATAGCTCTGATAGCTTCCTTATAGTTGCCTGCGGAATGTCTTTTTATTCCTTCCTCTAATTAATCTTTAAAATATTTCTTGTGTAAAGTCTGTCTTAAATTTATCACCAGTGGTATCTCCACACCATCCTTGTCATCCCTGTATTGGCTAACCCAGGGGTGCCCATCCTTTTGGTTCCATGGGCCAGATGAGTGGCATGGGGTCAGTCTGCCAGCTCGACCCTCCATACCAAGATCCAGCCATGGAGCAACCTCTTGCACTAACTCAGCTGCACACAGGCACTATCTAACATGTAAGACCATGTTATCTGGCCTTCAGGGCTCTCCATGGATTGGAAATTTGACTGTAGGGGAGCAGCGATTTATGCAAATTTCTGGAGCCATGTGAAGCTCCACAGGCTCAATGATAAGGCTTTGTGGACCAGAGGTTGAGCACCACTGGTCTAACCTAGTTAATTTTGTAATCTTTAAGGCAGAAGCTGTATGTTCTGTATTTTGTAAAGCACTGCGTATGTTTATGGCTGAATAATAACTTTAATGCTAGATAAATGGAAAACAAATTTTTTGCAGATACAAGGGAATGTGTGCTGTGTTTTCAAGATCTGGCACTTCATTAGGCTAGTATTACCCATCTCTTTATCAGATTTTAAACAATTTAGCCCCAGAAACTATACAAGACATCAGACCAAGCCATTGTTATGTGACTTGTCACTGAAATTCTGTAACACGTTTTCTGTTGTTAACATGCAAACTGATATACATGTTTGTTTGTTTGTTTGTTTTTTAATGCACAGCATTGGCTTTTTAACCAGTACTTTAATACAAAAAAATTAAAGTTAGGCATAAATACTGTTTTAATGGAGCATTTATAGATCCCTTGTTATCACTAATATTGAAGAAGCTTTTTCGAATACGTACATTATATATAATCTACTTTACTGTCCCACACTTCATAGAATTTCAAGGTTTTGATGTTGACCTCAACAGGATAAATGCTATTCCCACTGGGCTTGACCTAAACCATGACCTTTCTGACCCATTATACAGGTACATTTTGTCTTATGATCCAACATGTACAAATAGTGTTAAATAACCTTCTTTTAGGCTGGTTTTGAGTAAAGATCAAAAAAATTGTGCTGAACTAGAAGCTAATATTGATTTTTGGCACTTTTAAAACTAGACTAGATTTCAAATTGAGAAATGAACTAGGAGTAGTTTACTACTACCTCTTTTCCCATAAATCCAATTGCCAATTTTTTTATAGTTATACAAACACAATTTCCTATTTTTAATGGTTTTTCTGTCTTTGGATGCTGTTTAAAATAGCCACACAAACGAGAAGGATATCTGAAAGGTTATCTAAGAAAAAGACTTAAATTACTGCATGCAGTGGTATTAGTCATAAAGAAACTGAAAAATAGTATTGTGCTGTAGTCGCTCTCATTTACAGTAATCAGTGTAAAAGTAGGAGGCATGAATGTCGGAACCTTGTAGCTGAAGATGCTATCTGTAGACAGCAGCAGATGCCAAGTCTGATCCCTTTTTGGCTTTGTTCTGCTCAGGATGACTTTTCCAGAACAAAGATAAATGTTTGCTTTTATTAATTTTTATAATTCATATTTATTTTTGTAGAATGGAATATATACTGAAATTTGTTTATCCTTTCATTCCTGGCATGAATCATTTATCCACTAACTTCTTTCCCATAATTATCTCTTAGCTTATTTTTTCACTGTACAGCTCTTCAATAACATGTACATTTGTATCCCGGTTTTTGATCTCTGCAGAACATTATTTTGCTGCATCTGTTCCTGCATATAGCCCTTACGACCAAGTTCACTTGTAGGAGGTCAGAAGTATTTGTCTCTGCCTTTATTGGGCAGTTACTTCAGCAGCTGCCTCCAGAAAAGTGAGCAGAGTGGAGTTATCAGTCAGGGGGAGATGGGCAATGCACGAATGATGAAGGCATTTCTAGGGATAATGGTAGACAGGATTCAAGGGTAGGGTGCCTTTTTCACCCCTTCTAATTGGAAATGTTAATTACTTGATTTAAGACATGTAAAATGTTCTCAGTGTAACGCAGTGAGTGACTAATGTTATAGTAAAAGAAAACAACATACTATAAACAGAAAGCAAAGCAAAATGCTTACAATCTTGTTAACAGACCCTAGATAACTATATATTAGAATCTCTTGGCTGAGTGTACAGATAAAATATTTTATGCACATACTAAGGCATAACACAATTCTGGAAATGAAATCAAGCTACATTATCCTATTATCATTCTGTAGAGCTGAGAAATGTAACACGAATCATATATAAAAGATGCAAATTAGGGAAGAAAGATTAAAGAGAAGCAAATGAGTCATGAGTGATCAAGTACATTTCTTTGGTTTTGGTATCTTTTAAAATGCACCTGTGTAACAAGTTTTGGGGGCATACATGTTTTAAAAATGAAAACAATATGTGATACTAATCAACAGAATCAACCTAAGTAAGCTCAATCTCATGTATACCCAGGTCTAATGGCCCTGCTCATATGGGGAGTCATTTCAACATTAACCAGTACCGGCTTTACAATTGCCTAGAAAGAATGTGAAATCCATTCCCCTCCCTCCCAGTTATAAAGATTCCTGGACTTTGTCTGTGTTTCCCTTCTCACCTCAATTTTTTTTTTTTTAAGTCTTTTGCTCTTTGGGTCTTTTTTGCCCACTTCTAGTCGGTCTCCTCCACAGCTGAGAACTAAGACTAGGGATAGTCACTTGAACTTGGAGCTCTGTGGGGCTGTTGCTAGACAGCCTTGATGAAACTTGATTATACTCCGTCAACTGCTGTTGTCTCTTCATCCAGCTAATTGGAAATATGCCCTTTGTAGTAGTGGTGGTGGTTGTGATGAAAGCTGTTAAAAAAATCAAAACACTGTGTAGCAGGCACTCACTTTCCTTTTTTTTAAAAAAAAAAAAAAACACACACCGTAAATCCTCACTGTCATAGAAGAAAATAGACTATACATACTGCCATGCTGTATTAACATGTTATGTAAATTAGGTAGCTTTGAGTGCAGAAGGAAGTGTATGGAGGGATAATGTACCACTTTCTTTTTACAGAGTAACAGGCTAGCTAGAGATATTGAAGTAAGAGAAAGTGACAAAGAACAACTCCGTGCAATTTGTACAAGAGATCCACTATCTGAAATCACTGAGCAAGAGAAGGACTTTCTTTGGAGCCACAGGTATAAAGAACCTAGATGATGAGATTCTGGAACTCACCTCCAATTTCATTAAGTGCCATAATTGGTTGGCATTTACCTCCCTTTTATCTTGGTCTTGTTGCAGCTAGTATTTTAGAAAAGACACTTAGAAGCATATTTTATAGTGTGACTTATTTTCATTTTGTGGAGCTTATGAAGAGAAGCAGGTGATAGGAGCAATTGATACGTGCCCTAGTCCTGCAGTCTTATCTGTACTTACAGATTCCTGAACCCATGCAGAGCCCTGTTGACCCACTGCTGCAGGCTTAAAGATAGATAAGGTCCAGCTATGCTTGAGTATTTTATATTTTCTGTTTCTCTTTTGCACGTACAAGGTAACTTTTTCTCTCTTCCTTTTCTTTTTACAGACATAATTGTGTAAATACCCCAGAAATTCTCCCCAAACTGCTTTTGTCTGTTAAATGGAATTCTAGAGATGAAGTAACCCAGGTAATGTGCAGAAAGTCGATCATGTTAAGTGCACAGTATATCTTGGATTTTCTAAACAGTTATTTTCACAGTAAATTGCATGGAAGTGAATGGTGGTTCAAGTTAAATCTGTATTGACAGTGGGGTGTATCATACATGCCCATCTGCCTGATCCATAGAGGTGTCTTACAGCTGCTGTTCCAGAGCCTGGTTCTTTAACACATTTTTCGTAGTTCATGGTTGAATCCCTGGTGGCTGGCTAATGGGATAGACTATAAGCCCACAAGGTTGTAATTCTTAGTATTTGCTCTTTTAATAGTGGATAAATTATTTAGTAGGTTACAATTTATGCCAACATATTTGCCTCTGCGGTCTGAAGAGTACACTCTAGTTTTTAATCAGGGAAATCAAATGTATAGTAGTACTTATAAGTGTCTGTTTCATAATGATTATCTTACCTGTGTAACTGATTTAAACTGTGTGTTGGGGATGTTTGCACACAGATGTATTGTTTGATAAAAGACTGGCCTCCAATCAAGCCAGAACAAGCAATGGAACTTTTGGACTGTAATTATCCTGATCCAATGGTGCGATCATTTGCAGTTCAGTGTTTGGAGAAGTATTTGACAGATGACAAACTGTCTCAGTACTTAATCCAGCTAGTACAGGTATTCTTAACATGTTTTGTTTCATTAGTTGCTCCATTTCCTTGTCTTATGCGTTGTTGAGTATTGTTGTTGCCATGTTACTCTTCAAGTAACAAGGAGAGGCGTCTTGACAAGAGCAATTCCTTTGTGATTTTTCAGCCTTGAAAGATCCAACTTGGTCTGTTTTACTGTAATGAGAGATTGTATGCTATAGCCCAGCACAGAGATATTCTCCTGACTCATTTTGGCAGCTGCACCAGGTCTCTTTGTAACAAAAGGGGAGCCCTGCAGGGGAAACACTAGAAACCTGGAGGCTAAAATTTTGGCACATGTCAAGTATTTCAAGTTAATTGCAAGGAAAATATCAGAGAGGTAACAAGGTGTTTTTAGGACACGTCCAGTATATGTTCTGTGCTAGCAAGTATTATTCCAGTGTTGTCTTGCACTAACAAACACTAAACTATGCGAGTCCAACATTGCTGGATTCTAAAATATAAGATGTGTTCTGGGTAGTATTTTATGTAAATGCATGTTTCACTGTATGTGTTATTCACTTGCATAACAGCATTTCCTAATGCTTTTGTGTTTTCTTATCGGTAACTAGGTGCTGAAATACGAACAATACTTGGATAATCTGCTGGTGAGGTTTTTACTCAAGAAGGCATTGACCAATCAAAGAATAGGACACTTTTTCTTTTGGCATTTAAAGTAAGTTTGTGCTGGTGTTTGGATGATGGCTAGGTTCCTATACACAACATCTCACTAGCAGTAAAAGTTTGAATGGTAAATTAAAACTCCATTTTTCCTTCAGCTTTTACCCACTTCATGTGACCTGTAACATAAGGCCACATGATGGCATCTGCGTTTTAATTAGCACGTTTTAAAAACCTATAAAAAAGAATCAGAAAAGTATTAAGAGAATATTAAATATTGAAAAGTTATTAAATTAAGCATTAGCTTTGGCTTCCTGAAGGACCAAAGTAGATAAGGCTGGTTTAATTCTTAGTTATCCTTTAACCAGCAACACTAATATTTACAACTTCCCTCTCCTGCAATAAATTTAATCCACTGTCTTCATCTCTGGATTAGAATGGAGGAAGAGTATAGTATGTGATTGTTCATTTAAAGACCTTGACTCCAGCATTATGGAACTGAATTAAAGTTGAACAGAAAGCTGTAGTAATAGCATTTTTGAACCCTTGAAAAGACAAGCAGTCAACTGTAATGCTTTTCTAATACTGTGTTCAGGACGGTGCCAGTATCGGTGACAAGAATATTGCTCTCTTTTCAGGGAGGTAAATTCCAAATGTAATCATGTACTGTTAGCTGAGGTATAAATTTATGGCACTGTTTTTCCTAAGACTATGATATGTCTCCTTTTAATCTCTTTGCAAGACTTGCACAAAGAATAGGGCTTTATGGAAAAAAGCGAACATTGATTCAGTTATTCAGCAGGGATCAGCAATATACGGGCCACAGATCAGTTCCAGCCCTCTGGATCTGGCCCACAGAACTGGAGCCTACACCACTGCCTCTTCTCTTAGCCCCCATCCCACTCCCTGGGTGTGTGGGGGCCCACATGTGCTATGTCAGGGATGGGGAACTGCAGACTGCTTCCATTCTGCCATTATTTCCCTCCATCCCTGTCTCCCAGCTGCAGGTTGGGCCCACCTGGAAACTGCACAGCCCCTACACAGTTCCTCTGCCTGTACCCATGCTGACTACGCAATAAAGACCTCTGTCAGGGTTGTGTAGCTACCAGCTGCGCCTGTGGGAATTTTTACACATGGGGGGTGGGGCTTTAATTAGAATGGCTCCTAGAACCATTCTAATTAAAGTGCCCACAGCGTCTCATATATCAGTGTCCCCATGCTTCAAAATGGCACCGGGGTGCTTTAACGCTCATTCTATAAGCTTTATTTAAAGCCCCCTCACCACCATTATGAAGCATAGGGATGCTGATGCATGAGATGCAGAGGCTGGCTGACTTGCACTAATTGGTAATTGCAGCTCATCAGACCAGGCTCCTGGCACATCTACCAGCACCCCTTGTTGCTGCTTCTGCTTCTCACCACCCCCACCTCCCCGCAGCCCCTCAGGCTCGAAGAAATGGCAGTGGCATGGGCACAGCTCCTGGCTGTCTGTCTTGGCACAGGTGGATGGAGAAAACCCCCCACCCCTTGTTACTGATGTGGCACCACATCAGACACGAGCTGAGTTGTTCCAACCCATAATTTATTAAAGGTTGCTGAACCCTTCCCAGAAAGACCACTAAACTCTAACACCTGTAAACAGTCTTTTCTTTTACCTGTAAATGTTTTGTTCTCATAGGTCTGAAATGCACAATAAAACCGTAAGTCAAAGATTTGGTTTGCTTTTGGAGTCCTACTGTCGAGCATGTGGGATGTACCTAAAACACCTGAGCAGGCAGGTGGAAGCAATGGAGAAGCTAATTAACCTTACTGATATTCTCAAGCAGGAAAAGAAGGATGAAACGCAAAAGGTATTGTAGCTATAAATACTGTGGTTAAGTATGTGGCCTGTTAATAGTTTCAAGAGTTAGATCTTCACTTGTTTATTAGAAACAAGCGGTGCTAGTATCGATAACTTGCTAGATAACAGAATTCCTTACCAAAAAGTTGGGGTATCTTTTCTCCACCTATTGTTACATGGCTTTTGGTTTTAATTAATGTACTTAACCAAAATACATTTTTAGGATATACCTTAAACTAATAATTCATTTTATATATACATAGCTAAACTGAGGTTGGTCTGCAGCTGCTACCAGCCACAAAGCCTGGGCTGCTTCCAGCAGGCAGCTGGGCAGCTGCAAACATCTCCGGGCTCTGGCATTAGCTCCATACCACAGGGTGCACGCATGTCTGGGAGCAGACTTTGTCCAGTGGCCCAGGAGCCCTGCTCCATGTGCCCACACATCTGGTTCTGTCTGATCCTGTCTGTGTGTGCACACATGTCTGGTTCTGGACGTGTGTGTGCATGTGTCTATTCTGGGTGCGTTCTGGTTCTCTGTGTGCGTTTGTCTGGTGCTCACGCTCTGCTTCCCCCCCCCCATTGCAACATGCTCAACCAAAAAGGAATATACAACAACAAAAGCAACATTTATAATTATTAAATATACTAATATGCAGTGCGTCCTGCCATATACACCCCCTTCCCCCCGCCCTCATTTTGTTTTTCTGGCATGCCAGCTCTCTGGCACCTTCCAAGGTAGACTGTGGTTTATTCGGCACTCTGGCCAAAAAACGTTGCCTACCCCTATTCTACATGTAATTAAAAAAAAAAAAAAAAAAAATTCCAAAACTTAAATCTTATTACTTGTCAGGTGCAAATGAAATTTCTCGTTGAACAAATGAGACGGCCAGATTTCATGGATGCTTTGCAAGGTTTTATCTCTCCTCTTAACCCCGCCCATCAGCTAGGAAACCTCAGGTATGTTCTTCCCTTTTGGAACTGACGTTTAAATAAACCATGTTTGTGACATGCATTTTCTTGGTAAAGTTTAAATTGCAGATTTTACTAAGCAAATTTGTAGTGGATTCCTAAAGAACATTAAGCCAATGCCATCAATAAAACGATTTAAAATCACCACAGAGTAGTATATAACTCCATGCATTTGCAATTTCTGTGTGGGTAGAGCTTCAGAAATATGGTATATAGGATGCTCCCATAGTGGCTAGTACCCTTTATTGCATTACGTTTAGCACTCCTAGAATGGCAACGGTGGCTAGTTAACTGTCCTTTTCTGTCCACTCTGTTTTCACATCAACAAAAAGTGCTGAGGGGAGGAAACTGGGAGAGAAGAAGAATGCAGAAACACCATTCATTTGTAACAGTCTGGTGGTATGTTTCTTTCTATCTTTTTGTAGGCTTGACGAGTGCAGGATTATGTCCTCTGCAAAAAGGCCTCTATGGCTGAACTGGGAAAACCCAGATATTATGTCTGAACTCTTGTTTCAGAACAACGAGATCATCTTTAAAAATGGGGATGGTAAGGAAAACACACGCTGGTCTTGTTTTAATGTATTGTAATTGAATGAGGTGTATGGTTTTTTTTTATTCACTGCCTATTGAATTGACGCTTTTCCTAATATATAGGTAGGGCCCTACCGAATTCATAGTGGAAGTGGGCTGTGTTGTGGCTCCTTTAATCTTGCAGGTTTGCCTGCACATCCCTCTGCTGCTGATTGGAGGGTCCCTGCTTGCGGCTCACTCCTGATCAGCAGGGAAGCAAAAACCACAGTTTTAAACATGGCGCTAGTTTTATCTCCCCTTTGGTCAGCAACAGGGCTGCTGGGGCCTCTTGGCCAATTAGTGGTGGGGAGGAAAAACAATTAAAGGAGCTGTAGCGCAGCCCACTTCCACCATGAATTCAGTAGGGCCCTATATATAGGATACATCTGTTAGAGAAGTTCAGAAACATGTGTGATGAACATACTTATTCTTCTAAAGAAGTAGATGTGTTTTTAAAAGTAGTTGTTCCATATGCAGGCATTTATAAATGTAGTTGTGCTTTTAAGCCATGGGTGGCCAGCCTGAGGCATGGGTGGCAAAAGTGGCACGGGCAGACTCCTCGTGACATACAGTTGATTGTGCAGGAGACAGGCAGTACAGTGACAGATAAAAGCAGGGAGCAGAAAGCACAGTGTCTGATCAGACAGGGAGGAAAAAAGTAGAGCAGCAGCTTGGTCAGGGACCATAAGGCAGGGAGTAGCAGATCAGGTAAGGGAAAGGGTCAGAGTGGCACCCGGGAAGGGCATGGGAATAACTTATGGAATGCTTGCCAAAAAGGCTGGCCCCACAGCTTTTAGAACAAGCTTTATAAAAAGTGTTGTTTTTGCAACAAATACAACAGGTGACTTTAGAATATGACTCATAAACAGTCCTTTCAGTAGTAGTAACACTGATTTGCCTGACTTTTTTTTAATAGGGTTTCACTAGCAACATAATATTATTTTAAGCACAATACCTCTCTTTCAGATATTAAAATACAGAACATTTAAAAGATGTTTTAATTTTATAATAATTGTCGACTTCAGTCTCTTGGCTCTTAAAGGGTTTTAAATTGCACCTTGGTAGCATTGAAACTAATGCTACAACTTTTTATTATCTCTCAAACACCAACATTTGTTATTTAACTCTTGTGAGGCAAAATAATGAGGAGATGAATTTTTTTTCTAGAAACTTTATTATATTACACGGGCTACTGTCCTTGTGAGAAATTTGAACAGTGTCACATTACCAAAAGCTTTCAATCTGATCTTTTAAAATCTGCAACTTCTGTATTATTTGAATGTTTCAGATTTACGTCAGGATATGCTGACGCTTCAGATTATTCGAATTATGGAAAACATCTGGCAAAATCAGGGTCTTGATCTCCGGTAAGTAAGAGGGCATTCTCAAGCTTGCTTACAACCCTGAACTGTAAAACTCTTTTCTGCTTCATCTGTTTGCTGTTCCCCTTTTCCTACGAATGGCAAAATCTCTCTCTGTTTTGGCAACTTGTACAGCATTGAGGTAACCAAAGTACTAGTTTCTGTAAAGTAATCAGTGCTCCCTTTTGAAAATGAATTTGGTGATTATCATACCAATGACTACCAGGCAGGTATCTACATAATAGAAATTGTAGTGGTTGGCACTGGCTACTTTGTTTGCTGCTTTGCAGTCTTGTACGGGTCACAGAATAACCATGATATAGCTCCTTTTTCGTACTTCCTCTGTATTTTATATATCCCTGCTTTTCTTCACTATACGGTTTTTTTTTCTTTGAATATCTTTACCAAACTCTGTAGCCACTGTGGTTTTCTTCATTCATTAACATTCAAACTCGCCTCTCTCCAAAATACAAAAGAGGCAGTAAGGAGAGCTCCCAAGTTCTTACTTCTGGTAATAGTGATTTTTTAGGACAGGTTAAGATGTATGGGTTGGTTTCCTGTTTTGTTTTTTTTATGGAGAGTTGCAAGGATGCAGCTTGGCTCCTGTTTTTGTGCCTGCTTGGTAGGATCTGCATGTGCTGCCATGGGTTCGTCCCTCCAACTAGCACCGTACAAACTTTCCAGCCTAAAGCATGCTACATACTGATTTTCAAAGTCAGGTCTGGGCACAATGGACTCTGGAAAATACCAGATAGTGCCAAGAATCACCTTTTTGGTAAAGATAATTGAGAAACTAGCAGAGACCCACCTCCAAATACATCTGTCTATTTGTACTACCCAGAGCACTTTTCCCTGGGTATTCAGACCAAGTTATAGAGTAGAGAGCAGTGCTGGTAGCACTGATAGACAACCTCCCGTTGCACATAGATGAGAGCAGGACATCCATTCTTTCCCACTGGACCTGTGTACAGCACTGTATAACATTCAACTGGCACTACTGTGGTGATGAGCGGTTGTTCCTCTGCATCCAGGAGCGATCAGTTATGGAATTCTGCATGGCTCCATCCTCCTAAGAGGGGACATGATGGTAGCCTTCAATTACTTGAAGGGCTGCCATAAAGTAGAAAACATTTTTTCTTTTCTGCAGAGGGGGACACAGACCAATGGCATGAATTTGCAGCAAAATAAATTTAGATGGGATATCGAGAAAACCACCTTCACTGTTAGAACAGTAAGGCAGTGGAATAGACTACTTAGGGAAATTGTGGGTGTTCAGAAAGAAATTGGACAGCCACTGGCCAGGGATGATCTTGGTATAGCTACGCCTATGTTCTACTGTGGGTATTTCCCATGCTTCTGTGCGTTGCTAGTTCCCCCTGCTCTTCCTCACCCTTTACCCCGTCTTTCTGCTACATGTCAGGGTGTTTTTAAGCCTTCCTCAGAGGCATTGGGTATTGGCTACAGCCAAGGCTGAGGACTTTGACTGGGGTGTGCCAGTGCTCCTGCTGGGACCAAAGCGAGAAGTTCCTGGCTAGAGGGTCTTGCCTGTCTGCTCAGGGTCAGACCAAATGCCATATGTAGGGTCAAAAAGAAATTTTACTCTGTAGTCAGATTTGTACAAACTTAGGAGGGGGGGTTGCCTTCTACTGTAGTGTGTGGTATGGCCCCTCTACCTGGGATCCGTTGACAATATATTGACAACATCTGACAGAAGTAGGATGTTGGCTGCTGTAGTTCCCCTGCTTTACCTGTGGCAGGTTAGGGTGTTAGGTCTGTATTGTGTCCGGGTTGATAGTCTTATGTAGAGTTTGTATTATGGTTTATATAGGTTGGTTTGGCAAGGGTTGATCCTGCCTCAGGCAGGGGGTTGGACTAGATGACCTCTGGAGGTCCCTTCCAGCTCTGTTTTATGATTTTTCTCCCCCCCCC